GGGGATACAAGTGATTTTTGAAGGTTTTCCAGGTCTGAGGGATGGAGTGGAGCAACAAAGAGAAAAAGAGAATACACATCCAAGGACCCAATAAAATTATAACTAATTCCTCATTTTTTCCACAAACTTGTTTTAGCCATTCTAAAGCAATCAGATGTTTACAGCAGTTAGAAGTAATATAAGCCCTGCAAGCAATATAACAAATCTAAAACACCGAGCAACACATTAGCAAAAATTAACACTGGCAGCTGCTATCTCATGTCTGCTGCGGAGCGGAGGGGCCAGGCCTGCCCGAGGTGTGCTGGGCTGGGCTGAGGCCCGTACCTCCTGCTGCGGCGTTCAGCCTTCACACGGGGAATACTAATCACAGCCTATCCCTGTAGCACGTGTGCGCCGCCATGCACCCACCTACAAATGCACAAAATGACGTTTTCTGTTGGCGTTTGCTTTTAGATGAAAGCCTTTGCCACTTCACAGTGCTTTTCTCTGTTTTTAGGAGGTCGCTACGCTTCAGGCCCCTCCAAGTTTTCTCCCCCATGCTGCTCTTAGGAGGCCACCACCTCTCTTCCAGCAAGGTGGGCCTTGCCTGCACTGGCAAGTTGCCCTCATTCCAGCTGCAAATGTAGCTACACCGCATGCTGACAAGTAGGCTGAGATTTGTTCTTGTAAAGCCTGACAAGGGTTTGATGCAAAGACCCACAAATTAAAAAACTGCTAGACAAAGAATCAGCAACACCCCCAGCCTGCACATAGCAGAAATGTTATCATTTCTGCTGCAGCCGTTGCTGCAGTGACATTTGTATCCAGGGGGGCACATGGCTGAACACAGATGCTCCTCTTGGAGCAGATGGGACTGCCAGGCCAACTCACCCAGCCCTCTATCCCCAGGCGTGCTGGCCTCTGGCTGCAGACCAGCTTTTTAGCAGCAACAGCCTGAGCCCAGTTACCTTCTCCAGGGCCTTTCTGGGGTTACCCAGAAAGCATTCCCCTTTTTGGGCAAAGGTAGGGGACAGAGCCCTGGCCTTATCTCTGCGTACATACTCCACAGCACCCACGTCGTAAGAGCAGACTTCTTCAGAAAGCTAAGGACTACTGCACAAGCAAACTGACCTCGATGCAGAAGCTCAGTCAATCATCAACAGCCATTTCCTCTCCATGCCCTCCTCCCACGTTAAAACCACTGAGGAAAATCAACTATCAGCACTAGTCTACTTGGCATTTTTGCTGTAGATCAAGGAAATCCTGGATCTTACCAAACATTGTCCAAAAGATTTAAAATTGTGTATGTAGATATAAACATATGTATGGATAAATAAAACTCTGTATAATTATGGCAATGTTTTTCCCTTCCTCTTCCTCTCTTCCCCACCCCCTTTCCCTTCTCTCAATTTCTCAGACAATAAATGGGAAACAACCTTTTTTTTTTCCCAGCCAAAAATTAATTCCTGCTCAAAGCTTCCAGAAAGGGTCAAGTCTAAAGGAAGCATCTGGTAAATCTGCTTTTGTATTGCGGTGGGAGCCATAGCCCTCACATCCCCCTCCCTTTGCACCACTCAGCGCAGCAGGCACTTCTGCCACGCTGGGAAGGGTTTGCTCTGCTGCACACGTATGCATGAAGACACATTCTGCATGACTGCAGGCAGCCCTTAGATGGAAGCGGCTAGGTATGCTGCATGCACAGACAGAGTGGGTCCCACTCACCCCAGCAGGTTTTCCCATTGCTTTTTTTATCCCCCTGACTACAGATGGACTCTTCAGCTACTCCATGGGGTGGTTTGCTTGGGAATTATATGATAAGGGTGTGTGATTGCAGGGTCAAAGTCACAGCATTGGATCCTATCATGTAACATACTGAACTGACAAAAAAAAAAAAAAAAAAGTCTTCTCTCAGCATCTCCAAATGCCCATCCAGGGACAGGCAATGAATGAAGGGAGGCTGGGCCTAATCTTCAAATACACCCACGAGTGACTCCCATCCTGCAGTTTAGCCTGTGCACATGCTCAAAGTCAGTCAGAGTAAAACACTTCATAGAAAAAGCGAGAAATTGCCATAACTTTAAAATAACCAGCAAAGCTGTCAACAAACAACCCAGGACTTATTTTCCTCTTCAGACATACAGAAAACCTTTAAAGCTTTAGAAAATATACACTCAGCCTCTTAGGTTCTTCTACCGTATAGACAAAGTTCACAGCAAAAGCAAACGGCAGAAAAGGCACTTATCATCATGGTACCTCCAAAAATATGATCTATATTGGGTATGCAGTGGGAGAAGAAGCATCTTCTTTAACTTATTCCGTAACTGGTCTCTAGGCATAAGCAGCTGCTCTAGCTGGTAGTTCCTGAGCCAGCCCAAACCCTTCTTCTGGCAAAGACAGTGGGAAAGGGCAGCAACTCACTAACCTTGCAACATAGTTCAAGGGGGAAGTAACTCAAGATTAAAATTCCAGAAGAAATACCACCCACAGACCTTACAGCCCTATATAGCACACTCCAAAATTGCCACACTAAAAAGTAGTCTGGTATTCACCATCTTGCTTTTATGCTGCAGAAAACACAGTTCTCTCTGCTTCATGTGAAAGCGTGTGTCTTGATGTATAGTGGAAAATGCATTTTTTGCAAAAACCTTCTTACATTCATCATCTACTTGTTTCTCATCTGTTCTTCAGCAAGTACCTTTTGCTATTAAGAAATTACATGCAAGTGTTTCTGCATGTAACATGGAAATTCCCATGGCTGTTGCTTCATAAAATTGTATACAGAATAAAAGTTTCCCAAATATCTACTTTATCATACAGGTAGTATGTCCAAGTCCTCTAGTTTGTTAAGGATACTTCATGAGACTGCTTTGACTAAGCAGTGAAATGCCACTCTGAAAAATCCTCTGTTGTAGCTGTAAGTTTAGACCATGAAATTAGAAGGAGAGGTAGGACGTGCTGTTCCTGTCTTCCATCACCACCTTCTGACAGAAAGGACCTGCTGGACATGAAGACAGACAATTTTGAAACTGCAAACTGCTGAGTTTTTCTTTCCTTAGTCCAAAACAAAATCCAGCGACAACAAAAACCCACACAAAACACAGTTTAGAATGAATGCATATATGGGCCACAGTTTCTGAGGGGAGAGAGAGAACAGATAACCACAGAGGAAGTTTAAGGCCACTTCCTTTCTGTCACAAACTTCAATTCAGAAACAGCTGAGAAACTATTCAAGGTGATTTCAATTTCTTACTGGGCCACGTTTCCACCAATGTAAGAGGCTAAGTTTTCCTTATATTTTAAGGGCTTCATCAAAATCAATGAAAAGATAATGATAATGGTGCCCTTTCGATCTATCCATAACAGATCATTGCACATGCAGCATTTAAAAGACCGACACCAAGAACCCACCAAGCAAATAAGAGCCTAAGCATTTCTATTTGCTCAAGAACAAAATAGAATTGTGTTAGTGTACACAGTTAGATTTTATATATATTTGAAAAAATGCATTTCAACTCTGTACTCTATTATTTTTACTGACATTCTCCACAACTACTTGTTACATTGACAGGAAAATAACAAGAACCCAAGCAGCTGAAAAAACCCACTCTTCAATTCTTTCCATCATTTGTCTGAAAATAAGAGCATTATTTGCCTTGCAGCTCAAAATTTGTATGTATCAAGGTTTTAATTTTATGTCTGCTTCTTTTGTTTAAACACCATTTCACACCAACTATAATAAAAATCACCCTATAGCCAACCTTACTTCGCTACTGAAATGCAAAAGTTAATGAAGATACAGATTCAAGAGACCACTGGCCCTGATTCTGTGTTGGGTAGTTGTGTGAGACGTATTGCTCTTCCCCTGCACCCACATGAAACACTGTGTAAGAACAACCTGCATGAACAGCCTTGTGCTAAAATGGAATATCCCCTGGTTCATCCTCGTACAGACCCATTCTGGTTAGTGACTTCTGGTACTGTCAGACATAGGTTCCCTCCTTACTTCTCAGTGCTATTGTATAATATGCGTTATCCTACCTGTTTTAAAGACCTACTACAGCGGTAAGATGTAATTTAAGTCTTCTCCTTAGGAGCTACGGGCCTTATAGGGAAAATGCACAAGCCAAAGCAAAGCCCTGGGGCAGCCTGCCGGACACAGCTTCAGGGTGCTCCACACCACAAGGATGGAAACATCAAATGATGTTTCGCTGTGCCAACTCAAGCCCAGCTTTGGAGGAGGCCAAGCTGAGCTTAAATGAGCAGAAGCAGCTTTTCAATTTTTGGGTGGGCCTGAGAAAACATCTTTGCCCATTCATCTCCCTGCTGGATGTAGCCTATGAAGAATGAAAGACTACGTGGCCCTGCATGAGAACCAGTGGTCAGCTTGGTAAATAACTGGCTTTTGCAAGTCTGTTTGATCTTTCGGTAACTCATTAGAAATCAGATGGCATGCAGATAAAGAAAGGTGAAAAGGCTATTAAAAACCAGAACTATTTCCCTATGAACATATTTGCTGTGGCTTTTGAAAAGTGCGTACTTAATCAATGAAAAACAAAATGTTTTAAACAAGTTGTTGCAGTGCAAAAGATGACACCTCCCACTGTGGGTTTGTTCGGAGCATTACCGAGACATGCCGTTCAATTCAAGGCTCAGCAAATATAGCCTATTATACAGTTCTTGGCATATTTACGGTAGTGTGTGAAGCATTATTAATAGCTTACACCACTGTCTTTCCTTCATCAGCAGGAGGTAGGTCTGGCTAGTGAAGTATAATTGGTAATCTATTTTATATATGAATAAAATACTCTTTGGAATGCATTGCTATAACATTCAGTTCTTGTTTGCTATTCCTTAAATGTATTGTTTGAAATGCTAGCACCAGCTATTCATTCTTTTTCTGAGCAGCGATGCCATGACAACCCCCACGTGACTGGCTACAAACATACCACAAGTCTCTGGGGCTTTGCTTTAGGAAAGGCTCAGACTGGCATTACTCATACGTTTTTTTGTTGTTTTTAAAGCCCAGATTCAGAGATGTTTTATTTTGTGCAAGATGCCAGACAATTTCACCGTGTGGCAACAAATATCTTCAGCTAAAATGGGACAAAGCGAAGTATGAAGAACACAAGAAAAGGGTAGGTACAACTGTTTGATAAAGAGCAGAGGCCTTCATGAAAGAATAAGCTTACCCCAAAAGGCTACAGCATCTCTCTACTCATTCTTAATACTGCTAGGAAAACTACTGATCAGCAGTAAGGTACAAGAGATGTATTGTAAGAATATCCAGTAAATGTAGGTATAGCTTTTGTGTCCATTCAGAGTTATTATAATGATGTTCACCAAATTTAGATGTGAAAAAGATTCGTTCAGTCATCTGCTCCAAGTCAGTAATAATGCAGGACTGCTCCCTCTTGAAAATCCATAAAGAGTGAATACCATTAGTGATCATTCAACTGTATTGCTACCTTAGGAAGATTGTATCACAATATAATTAGCTTTAATATGAAGAAATAGTTCTTCATTATTTCCAGACCAGGTCTGTTTCATTAACTGTATAAAAATACCTACCTTCCTTCCTTCCTTCCTTCCTTCCTTCCTTCCTTCCTTCCTTCCTTCCTTCCCTCCCTCCCTCCCTCCCATAATTTAACTTGCAGGTGGAAAAAGTTAAAGATGAGGTAGAGAATTGAATTTGACGTATTTTTCTAACCAAATTGACAATATTGAAATAAATAAATAAATATGTTTCCTTATGTGTGAATTAACCGCAAGAGGCCTACTATTGTATATAAGCATGGCTATTTAAACAGTGGCTCTTTTAAAACAGGGAATTGATATTAGTGTAGCTAAAATACTCTCGGCATCCACTGTGCATATAGAACTCTTCATTGTTCAGCATACAGAGCACTTCATATATGCACTAAGGCATTCAGAGGCCAAGAATAGAGGTTAGATATCATCATGATATATAGTGAAGAAATGTATTTATAGAGAACAAAACATTTCCCACAACTCAACTGCTCTTGGATTAAACACAAATGTTAATTTCTGAGTGCAAGCAAAGAGAAAGAATAACTATCATGTTGGGCAAAGGATGGCTTAGCAGGTACATAATTTTGTTCCTTATTACAGGGTTCACACCTGGCTCAAGTAGTGTCTAACAAGGTCTCCAACGGTCAAAGAGAGGCTTCTTCAAAGTGCCCCTGTGGTGTCATGCTGGCGTGCTCCTAAATTCCCATGTTAGTTGCTCGGAAATTTCACCATGCCTTCTGCTGGCATGAATTCAGGCTTGCTGCAGTGAACGCCCGCTACCAGAGCAGTGGTACCTGTGGGCTGGTGTAACTGAAGGCAGCAGGGCAATTCAGCAGGTTGTCCTGAATGACACAGCCCACACGTGGCACAGGGTTTTGCTCTGCCAATGGAGACAAGGATCGCTCTAAGAAAACGTAAGGGCCTCTTCTTGGTGATGTGCAGGCTTTGCATTGAAGGAACTCACAAAAAAACCCACAAAAACCCACAACACCGTCAAAAAACAGAGCAAGAGAGAAAGGGGGAAAATAGAGAGCAAGGAAGGAAAAAAGGTAACATATAAAAAACTAAAAAAGGTACACTTCTTGGAGAAGACCACTAAAAAGACGGCAACAGTTAGGAATAAGATATAATCTTCTCCATGATGCTACGGTACAAAAAAATGCCAGCATGTTTCTATGTATGCAAGAGCAAATTCTTCCAGCCTGAATAATTTTGTTATTTTCTAATGGAAGAAAGGAACGGGGGAAAAAAAAGCAGAGTTACATGTCCTCTCTGCAACATTCTGCATAGAATTAAATATAAAATGTCTCCAAAAACACAACAGAGATTAGCATGGGCTTAAAAAATACCAGGTTTTACGTTTTACAGTTACGCATGTAAAGACAAAAAAGAAAGCAATCATAACACTTTCCAGAAAATTAATTCCACAGAAGAAATGTTGTTTCTAAACCCACCTTTTGTTGTTCAAGTTTGAAACAGTTTGTATACCTATAAATTAAAATCAGAGTATGCATAAATATCACATCTTATTCTTCACAACAGTGACTTCTACTGACTGATACAATAACATCCCTCTTTTACAAATCGCATGTGTTCTTAAAGTTATTTTTAAAATAACTTAATAGCATGATAATTTAAAGCACCTGAAGAAGCAGAGGAGCTAGCAGCAGCAGAAGCCAGAATCACTGAAACCCTCAGAGATTTACCAAGTTTAGTTCTGCTATCCAGTAAAAATCAGCTCTTTAATGTGATGGGATCTAGAAAGGATTAAGATGAGCACTCTCGTCTCCCCTTGAAATCAGGTGGAGTTGAGACCAGTCAGCCCCTTCTGGGATCCCACCTCCTCAGAGATGACTGCCACAGAAAAGTAGCTTCATATTTTCACAAGCAGCCAAACAGTTCAAGCAAATTCCAGACAAAGCTAGAAACTGCTAAACATTGTCCCAGTCTGTGCTGTAAATTATCTGTTATAAAAGCAAGGAGCCTGTCCTGGTAGTATGTACAACAGGTCAGCCACCAGGGGTTCAAGCTGGGTCCTCCGCTCATCACAAAGCTGCTACAGAAAGGGACGGGGAAAACTTCTGCTGCACTCAGGCAGTGCATGGGGCTTGCGTTGGTGCTGTGCCTGCTGCTCTTACTTGGCAGCCTCTTTTTTTTAGATAGCAAGTATTTCTCTCGTCTTTCTATATCACTGAAAAATGGTTCTAAATAGCCTGAGTCTGCCTGATACGGAACAGTTCAGGTCTGAGGTACAACAGAGGGAGAATGTTTATCACATATACTTCATGACAAAAGTCATGGTATAGTTGTTTTAACCGATTCAGTCTCACTCCCTGTAGGACCCCAGTTTGAGAGAGAGTGGTCTCCCTTCTAAATCCTGTCTCTAAATCCACTCCCCGTTACCAGTTTTTCTTCCATGGGTTTTATTCAGTCCAAGACAGCTCATAGATTATTCTTCCTCATATATTGCATGGCTATTTAGGTCAGGATGGGGATAAATATTATTGTGCCACTGAACAACAAACACCATTATAATAATTAGATGCACAATTTGCTTTTGATGATCATTCTAAAGTGCTAATACGAAAAGGCCTGGGAATACTTTCAACATAAGAAGTCCTTTTCCAGCATTGCTTACCTCTTTCTGGCAGCATCCTAAATGTGCATCCCTTTGGAAGACCTGACACAGCTTAGAAGTACCTAGGGCTTTCTTACACTAGCCTTTTTATTTCTGCTGGATGCCTAATAAAAACTGCCTGCCTTCTCTTAGACAGTCTTTCCTGTATCATAACATCAACACCACTGTAAACAGACTGTATGTATTTTTACATTTCTCCAACAAAAAGAGCACTTTGCATCTCCAGCAAACTTTAGAACAACTGCCTTTAACATTTTGATTTCCCACTACTACTCTTCTGGGCAAGTCTGGCTTTGCTGATAGAATGAATCATATGTTTAATAGTGTTACTGCTGGCTAACAAAACAGAACATGAGAATTAAAAGATTTCCCATAATGATATGCATGGGTATTTCGAACAAAAATGGACAAATATTTAATTTCTCTTGCAGATCCAGGCAGCAAAACCATTAGTGGACACAAGTGCCCCTGCAATATACAGCCACGTTCATCTGAAGTTAGGGAAGCTGAAGATATAGTATTGGTTATTTCATTGAGCACTAGCATGCTTACCTTCATGTCTCCTCTCAAAGGAAACAAAGAGACTACCGGATGGTCACAATTTCAGGGCATTTTTTTTTTTCCTTGGTGCAGTGATTGTTGCGACAGGACTATCAGGATCCATGAATAGCACACTCTCAGCCTCATTAAATAACTTATTTTATCTTTATGATTATTGATGAAATCAGAGCGCTTCAGATTAACAAGTGCTAAAGTGTTCAAAAAGCCTCCTAAAAGGTACTTCTGCACAGCCATGAAAAAAAATCACGAATAACAAGAATAGCACAATCATCAAGATACACACAGAGCAATGAACTGAATAATAGGATGTTAACATATTCAAAGCACATGAAATAACAATGGGTAGCCTTGACTGGCATTTATCCTTCAAAATCTTACTGTTCCCAAGAGGCAATTTTTTATTAAAAGATGACAGTGGAAAATAAATTGTTACCTAATTAACTCTGCTCACTAAAAGGAAACAACAAGAATTAAAAAAACCCAAACATGAGCACAGTAGAAAATACATGCAGCTAAACCCTGTCAAAGACTTAATTTCCAACACAGTGCCCCTCAGGCAATGGAAGCATAGCCCATGTAAGGATTTCAGAATTAATTTCCTTAAAATTGTTTATCATCTCACTGTGCGACATAATAATCCCCAGGCATCTTATAATCATTTCACCAGCAAAACAATTCATTTCTTCTCCATGCATAAAATCATATGCTATATTAGGATGTGGATTCAATTGCTGTTGTTAATTTTTTCCTATTACTGTAAAAATGACACTGATAAAGTACCTTTGAAAAGGAAATATTGCATAGCCCCCCTCACACAGAGGTTAACAGAAAAACCATCAACAGGAACCCACTACTCGCAGGCCTGTTCCATTGAACTACAGGTCCTGATAACTGGAAGTGAGGCTGTGGTCCTAGTCTCTTTCTCATCCTCCTTTCCAAACTGCTACAGAAAGAAAGAAAAAAAAACCCCACCTGTAATGTTGCAATCTTCTATTAACCAGTTCTTCTTTACAGCTGTTCTCCTCAAGGTTATTCAGAGCCTGATAGGATTACTTAATGCACCAGTTTTAGGTACTTTTATACTACAGTGTGACCAGTATCTGACCTGCTTTGGTTATAAACCCCAAACAAGGCAGATGTACTAGATTCCCTACAATAACCTGCTACTCTAACATTAGCTACTCAAAACTATCAGAGCAGGATGAGCAGGATTTCCTATTCGTTTTATACAGGACTTGCAATATCTCTGGAGTGCCTAGAATCAAATATGGGGGAAAAAAAAGAGGATAAAGGAGAAGAGTGAATTAGCATGCTCAAAACAAGACTATTTCTTCAGTGATTCTGTTCTGAGAGGTTTTTGAGAATAAGATGTTGAAGTCCAGCTATGAAAAGTGTGCTTGCCCTGCTTTTCTCCATCCAGCCTCTCCCTGGTTACCTCCATCTCAGCCCTGAGGGAGAAGGCATTCTTGGGACTCAGATAACCTTGAAAATAGGTTTTTCTCTTCACTTCTCCCCTATTCTTTCCCAATCCCCACAAACACACTTTTGGTCATGGATTGGTGTTCCTCAAAAAACAGTATGGTAACATTTTTTACAAATTAGACAGTGCCCCAGGATATCTAAAGGGATTCTCTCTCCTCCACTGGACTCCTTCAATTTTCATCACACTTTTGACACTGGTAACTTCAGAGACTGAGATTATGAACATCCTCCATTTTAAAATCAAATGTAAAGAGGCTTAAAATCATGCTGAGAATGAACAGAACTAGTTTATACTGTCTTATACATCTCTCTCCATTTCTTTGTTACACCCAGTTGTTGCTTCTTTTCTTACACTTGCCTGCAACCCCTCCAGGACAAAAATGGCCTGCACTGGACTTAATCCAAATCTCACTGAAGTCAATAGAAAAACTACCATTTGATCCAAAGCCCACCGAAGATAACGGAAAGATGCCCATTGACTTCAGAACAGCCTGGATAAGTCCCACCATGTGTTTGTACAGTGTCCATCACAATCCTAGATTTGACGAGAGCCTATGAAGGTTGCTAGAGAAACAAATGATAATGATGATCCTGGAAAATACATTCACAAATATTTATAGAAATTCTGCTTACACAGATTTGATAATCAAGCAGGCTGCTGCTGTGGTTGCAGGAAAGTGTTTCAGGGTCAAATTCACAGCATTGCAAAGGACTTTCTCTCATTGCATCACCATTAAAATGGTGAAATAAAGGGTTGTCTCAACACTAGCACAGAGCTTTACCTGATCAGTGACTGTTACACTCTGTGTAGAGAAGGGAACAGCAATTTTGAAGACTGTGTTAGGTATCAGTGCTGCTTGCTATGGCCTTGTAAAAACAGAAGCACTTCTTTATCCCTTCTGTACACAAAGTTGGAGGAAGACCAACTTTCCATCATCGAAAGAGACAACCGTTTGCTGCTGGAGAAGATGTCCTGCATCATGAGTACAAAAGGACAAATCGACAACAAAAATGACTATAAGGCCAAAAGGTAATATCAGCAGCACTATTTCTATGTAGTTATCAAGTTACCTTCCCAGTGACAAACATAGCTAAGGATAAACTGCTCTGTGAGGACATGTATTTTAAAAGGCAGCCTAAGGTATAATCAACACTTCAGAAAGCCATTTGCTTGCCCTGTCACATGAAATCCAATGCTGGGTCATTTTCCTCCTACCCTCTGTTGAAGAGAAGATGGCTTTAAATTAGTTTTTCAGTTTAATAACTGAGGGAATGAAAAAAAGGGAGGGAAAAAGAGAGAGAGAGAGAACACTGCCCTACTTTAAGGGAAATAAATGAAGCAAACCTAATATGTCACAGCAAAGCTGTTGCTCCTGCTAAGTGAGTCATTGCTGCTGACTTTGCCAGTTGTTCCTACAGACAGCACCGGAAAGAGGGAGATCCAAAGCTTAGAGATCAAATAAAAACTGAGCAAAAAATAGAATTTAAATTAAAAAGAAAAGTGGAGCAGGAAGCAGGCAGAAATCAAATATAATTTACTGCTCAAAGGAGACTAAGCAAAATATGTCTTGAGGATTTATCTCTAGAGAGAACCAGCTTACATATTTTTGATTCAGGAGAAAATTTACAACCTGAATAAGGCACAGAAGACCAGTCAACAGCAGGGACAAGCTTTTGAAGTGAAAAGAATGGTTTGTATAACTCAGGTGGCAGCTGTTACCACCTGTGATTCATTTACAGACAGACTACTTCGTGACAGACTGACTGCTCATCAGGTCCTAACGTGTCTCCAGACAACAAAACGCAGCTCACAGCAAATGACCTAAGTAGAACTCACTACACGTCACCATCACAAATATCCTGACATTTGCACAGTTCCTTGGGAAGACAGAAATGATTTGAAAACAGAGTTGGTCATGTCCACATCATGCAAATCCACATCATAGCACTTATGGCTTGTCCCTAGTGAGTAGTACCCAGATCAGTGCAGGTATTGACAAGCATCAGTTAACTCTGCTGCGGAAGGTGTGATCCACAAAATACGGAAGGAGAAGAGCATCCTCCCCCTTTTCATTCCCTCTCTCTCTTCCTGATTCAAGTGGCAAACTCTTGTTGTTTTCTTTGGATCAGCTCTGATTTTCATCAAAGCTCTCCATTAGCTAATTAAACTTGAGATAGCAGCAGAAAACTAACCCAACAAAAACAAATGAACCTGGATAGTTTTGCTGCCACTTTCTGCAAAGTGATGAATTCCAGGGCTAGTGCAAGGGGCGAAGAAGACCACACAGCTGGGAGCAGTGGGGAGATGAGCAGAGGAAGGAAAAGAGTAAGGCCTTCCCTTTTTTGGTGGCAGGAGACTGCTACCAGATCAGCTCATCTGCCTGGGAAATTACAGTCTAAGAACCCACAGAACATTTCCAAGGCGTTCGAGGCAGTACGCTTGTCTCCATTGTCTTCATGCTTCGCAACTTGGTACATCAGGTTTATACATAAATAAAGTTAAGTGACAGAAATTGATTGTTAAGCATCATGTTAAGCCATGCCCTTACCTACAGTACCGCACTACAGCAATTCCAAGACTGGAGGGTTGGCATTAGTCCAAAATAAAACTAGCATTTTTCCTCTTGTAAAATGTACCAAACCTCTAGACAGGCAGGGCTGTATTTGGGAGGTACTGAACAAAGACTATGCTTTTAAGAAGGACAAAAGGATTGGGCTGCAAGGGCCAGTCAATGCAGATCAAGGAGGAGCAAGTCCCTCTCCTACAGGAGGGGTATAAAACCTTAGGCAAATTTTCCCCTGGCACAAGATTGACAGATATGTCACATTCTGGGTTCCCAAGCATGGGAACACGAACAAGCCTGAAGAATTTTGATTCTGCTTATATGGTTTTCCCATCTAGTTTAAATGGAGAAAAACAAAAACAGGAGGTATGGAAAGTGAACCAGGAGAACCGCGCCATTCTGGGTAGAATTATGAAGTCCCAGCCTCAGTATCAAGTTCAGCGATGGCATGAGGATTGGCAACGAGCTGAAAAATACATGGCCAACGTTGCGAGATATCCTCGTGGGCGGTGTAAATCACAGAGCTGAAAGGTAGCCCTGAGCTTCTGTTCTTTCCTTCCCTGTTATTTCTGGATCGGAACAGCTCATAGAGCACATTTCACTGTGCTTTTGTGCTGAGGATTAACTGCACGTGGCAGCCAGCTGCACAATTAACAGCCTTTCATTTATACAGCCACTGTTATCAAATGAATCCCAGAGTGCTCTTCAAACTTTATTAGGGGATTTGTAAGTGCTGTAGTTTCTACAGTCAGACTATCCACCATGGAGAGATGGTGCTCTCAGAAATAAATTTTAAAATAATTATTAAAAAAAAAGAAGCAACGTCTTACCAGTTCCCTGACAGAAACAGCCAAACACTGCAGCAACATTTAATATGACCAAGTGGGCATATGCATTGAGGGCTCCAACACCAGCCATTCTGCACAAAGTAACCAGCTTCTTATTTCATTAGTAACAGAGGTAAAGAAAACAACAACAAAGCAGCTATATGAGGTATCAGCAAGCTTTCCCGGAGAAAGAAAATTGACCCTCTTTAACCTTTCCACAGCCAAACTCCCTGGCTTTGAGCCCACTAACTCACAAACTCCCAACCAGAGGGAAGCTGCAACACTGCCCAACAGGCAGGGCATTGGCATTAGCTCTGCTTTTATCCATCCTCCCTATGACTTTGGACTGCTGGCTCTCCATGGTCATGTGTCTTGTTTTGGGAGGTATGTCCCCTGTCATGTGAGTCTGATTCAATATACATGGGTGTTGCTCAGCCCCTATGTTCACTACCTTACCCATTAGCCTGAGGCCACTGAAATAAATCTTTTTGAAGTCTGTAGTTTCTGAACATACATAAAAAGATTTTCAAAGGTGTAGCTCATCCAAATCTATCTGAGTCTTCAGAGGACAGTAAGTAGTATTTCTTCTACCCCAGGACAATCTGTTTGCCAAACCTTTGGTCCCAGTTCTAATTCCAGAGGCAAAGCACTCAAAAGAAAAAGCAATAAAAATTGTGGCATTGTAAAATAAGAAACTGAACCTCCCACCAACTTCTGTCTGGAGACCATTCTTGAATAGAGCTATGTAATTTTTAATAAAGATTTCCAAAACTATTCAGTCTGAGGCAGAGAGCAAGTATAGAAAGCTTCAACCCAAACAGTTAAGACTTGAGAAAAAAATAAGCAACTAAAAGAGAGTCTTCTACAATGGAAAATATTAGGCAGCTTTAACTACCATGGAAGTATCATTACAAACCAAAGAATTATGTTAAAAATAGTAAGGTTGTAAAGCCAGGTGCTCCATAATCAGAAAGTACCTATGGCTGTAAGATATTTTTCAGGTATTTATATGTTTGCCATCTTTTGATTTTGGCAGATTTTTATAAATGCATAAACAAATTCTCGTAGAGAACTAAATATATCCTGCAACCTTCCCCACATCAACCGTTAAGTCTGTGCTGTGTAATTAATAGGTACTAGAACACCTGTAAGAAGTAGTCACTAGAAAACCCTTTTTTCCAGCCTCCACAATCAAGGCAGTGACAGGTTCTTTATTTTACATACATTTATATTGATTTCTCTCTTTTCTGGCAGGAAAAGCAATTTAAAAAGAAAACATCTAAACAAGACATAAAAAGAGAAAAACAACTGAAAGAAGAAGGTGTGAAGAGAAAGATTAAGGAAAAAGAAAGAGAACATGTCCACCACAGAAAGGAAAAGAACAACTAGAACACGACCAAGTTCCAGAAATAGCATTATTCCAGTAGACTTCTGCAAAAGCAATTTAGGAATTAGCAAAGGGCTCTTTGCTCCCTCTTGGATAACTACGGCATTTGGAAATTTTCCTGTCCTCAGCCTTCTGCTTTGCCCTTATTCTGAAAGTCACTCCTTTCCTGGCATGGGGAACCAGAAGAACAGGGGGTTGCAAGCCCGTTTTGTGATTGCGACCCTATGCCTCAGCATACTTTGATTTCTGCAGTTTAAGTTAAAATACCCCTGTTCCTATGCAGGTGATAACTTCCAGCATTGGAAATGGCTGGACTCGTGAGGGTGGTAACCTTTTCAACTACACAGTTAAACTCAGCAAAAATTGTAAGCAGAACTCCAGAATGAGCTGGGGTGCCTGGGAGAATCAGGTGGAAGGACTCATATGGTTTAGACTACTGTACGTTTAAGTGTCCTGTAAGAGTGTAGATATTAAAGACACCGTGTCTTTGGTAGAGTAAAAAAAGCATAAAGCAAAATGGCATAAAAGCAATTTCCTTTATAATTACCAACAGAACTCCTCTGAGTTTATAAAAGCTAGCAAAGAAGGAGCCTAACTGGGAAAAGGACTGTAAGCGAGCAACTGTAGCAAAACTAATTGATCTGATTAAGATTTGAGTTTTTTTCCCATGTGACAATTTTCATCTCAGTATCCAAGGTCTCCCCAGTGAGGATCAGGTTGGCCGACAGTAAATACTTCAGAGTGAGCATTTTGGGAAGGCTTCAGAGGCTCTCTGAAACCTCTGAGCCACTTGCTGCAAATGAGGGAGAGCACTTGGTGGACCAATGCCCTCCCAGCACAGTGACAGAGACCACTTCTTTCTTTACTCATGATTTTATGGCAATTTTTGTGTCACTCACAGTAATTGCATTCACAGAGTGAAAATACTGAAAAGACATAAAATTTGTTTCCAGCTTCCCTTTTACTGGGATTTAGCAGCTTGAAACAAGGAGACACAGCACCACATGACCCATCAGCTCTCTGCATGTTATAATCTACTACTCTTTTAGACTACCATTGACCTACAGTTCAGGGAACAGACACTTTTGTTCTGAAACACGTATTCTCTATTTCTTATTTTTTAATTACACTTCTTCAAAAGAAAATGTATATTAAAATCACAAACTGATCTTAGCATAGCCAAGTGATGTAGCATCAGTTCTCTCAGAAAAGGAATCAGTCAAAACCAAGCATCAAACCAACATCAGCTCTTGCTTTTATCTGGAGTAGAATTTCATCTGTAATCATTTTAGAGCCTGCCAACTTTCCAAGTGGACACCACAGCAATAACTATTCACTTCCCGGCACTTGGAAATGCTTTCTAAGACATTTCTCCTTTCTCACTTGCAGTGTGGACCAGTGAATAATGTTTGAAGTACTAAGGATGAAAACTTATTTTCTGAAGCACAGAAACTCTAAAATATAAGAGTATAGAACCATAGAATAGAATAATAGAATAGTTTGGGTTGGAAGGGACCATTAAAGGTCATCTAGTCCAACCCCCCTGCGGTGAGCAGGGACATCTTCAACTTGATCATGTTGCTCAGAGCCCTGTCCAACCTGGAATGTTGCCAGGGATGGGGCATCTACCACCCCTCTGGGCAGCCTGGGCCAGTGTTTCACCACCCTCATCGGGAAAAGTCTCTTCCTTAGATCTAGTCCAAATCTACCTTCTTTTAGTTTAAAATCATGACCCCTTGTCCTATCACTTACAGGCCCTGCTAAAACGTCTGTCCCCGTCTTTCTTATAGGCCCCCTTTAAGTACTGGAAAGCTGCAAGAAGGTCTTCTCTTGCCAGGCTGAACAATCCCAACCCTCTCAGCCTGTCCTCATAGAAGAGGTGTTGCATCTCTCTGATCATTTTTCTGGCTGTCCCCTGGACCTGATCCAACAGGTCCATGTCTTTCCTGTACTGTGTTACGTCTTTATAGTACTGAACTGAGAGTAGAAATAACAGCTACCATAACCATCAGCTTTCCAGTACTTCAGCAACTCTGCCATACAACTGCAAACTCCTGGCTTCGGAAAATTCACAGCTTCCCAAGGCAAGATCCCCAAATCCACCACGCTAGAGAGAAAAGTTTCATGGCACCTAAGTGCCTGGGTCAAGAAGGAAAAAGGATTCTTGTTCGCGCAAAGCAATAGTGGGACTGGCTTGATGTCCTGTGGCAATATGTGTCCTAGAGTGCACTGAGTATGCCCAGACCCAGCATAGAGGGGCTGACCTCCATGCAGTGGTCAGCCACAGGGCTCCATGGCTGGATGGAGGTCATCTCAAGCCACTAGCCATGATGGGGAGAGTGTCAGGATAGACAAACACATCCTCTGTTACAGCAATCACATTGGGCAAACACGCATCAACTGTTCCCTCCAACAGTAGCTTGTTTCTAAAAGAAGGGTTATGCACCCTTTAAACAGGAGCCAGTAATTTAATGAACCAAAACTTCCCTCGCTATCAGAAAGAAGATGCCAGCTTGGCTTTAATAGCAGTTCTATTTTTACATGTAAATGTCCTATGCTCTTATGGCTTAAGTCAAACACCCCTAAAGTCCCTGCCTCATGTGGTTCTAGGCTGGATCATCAGGGCACTCCCTAAGGGGCCAGCTATCCTTAACAAGTTATACCATTGAACCAAACAAAATTTTTTGTTCCTTTTCTTCTTTAAAAGCTTCAGATTGGGATAATAATAACCTAAAATATTTGACCGAATGCCACTTGCCTTATAATTAAGTAGAAATGTTACTCTCTTCAAATCTCTGGCCCCAAAGTTAAAACACTTTGCTGCTGAAACACTGGTATGATTACAAGCCAAATACTTGAAACAAAAGAGCACTAAAGTACCACTATAAAAAAGAGTGTTAAGAGTCACAGGAAATGTTAATCTGAGGGTCAAATTCTGCTTCCATTTTCACTGTTGTAAATTCAGGCTAGCAGCCTTATCTTTACTGCAATTGCTGTGCATATAACCACCTTACATTAAGAAACCATGTCGAAAGAAAATTCACGATTAAGTTTTAAGATGACTGGGCTGAACTTAACTACCAGCTCACTGCCACGGAAAACAAGACACCACCCTCTCCCTTTTAGTCCTCTCCTTGTGCCCTTCTTCCATTCTGTTTATCTCACACAAATACTTGTGCTCTTTAAAACTTGAGCAAGGTCAACTCCAGGATAAAAGTCACAAAGGAAAACTTTTTTTTTTTTTTTTTCTGAAAGAAGAATAGTTTTTCCAGTGGGTTAATGAGTTGAGTCTGTTCATTGAAGATGAATTTAAG